TGACTCATATTAACTTTATAGATTTGGTGTGTTCATTATACTTAAAGCCACTCATCATTGTTTGTATATTTTCGAACAATAGCTAATTTTGACTTTTCTCGACTTAATCTGCTAATCCAATTGTTCATTTAACATTTAACAAAACTAAAATATCAACAATCTACCTGCTTGAATTTAATTGGATTAACAAGGGACAACACAAACATGTGACACTATGGTTTATACATCGTCTACTGATAACACCACACGATGCAAAATTTTCAATTAATATAATTCATATTGAAGAGAATTAAATTATTTTTTAACTGATATTCCTTTTAGAAATTAAACTATCACAGTCACAAGGAATTCAAAATTCCTCAAATTACCATCAGCACCTTTAACATTTACAAAAATAATTCTTTTATTCTAAAGATTAAATAAAAAAAACTGTTAGTGTATGGTACATGTAGTGTACCAATAAATATATTCTCAGAACTATAGTGATAACAAGCAATTAAAGGAGATACATGTAGGAGGGTTGGAGAACAAGAAAGGCACCCTGGAACCCAACCTCCAGTTATCTGCCCAGTTACAGTTCATGATTTGTATGACTGTAGAAGTTGAGTACAAGTATATACATGTATAGCTATCTAAAATATTTAAACTCTAATAGAATTGATCTTTTAACACAAGCTAAAATGTAGAGTAAGTCATTGTACATGATACAGAAATGAAAAGAAATCTAATGTTCTACTTTACTGCACCGACTGGGCAAATGAAGATATGCATGTATATACCAAACAGTGTGCTACATGTAAATGTACAAAGGAGACTTTGCCTGGACAATAGCACTACGGCCTACTCTTATATCAAATTCTTCGAGGGTTCTTCTATGGTCTCTATCTATATTCCGGTCCATCCGGAATATAGGGTAAATGTGTAAAGCCGAGAACCCAGTTTAAAATCCTTAATGTGGTGACATTAAATCGAAAACTAAAAACTGCTGCCCTGACATTATTCCATCAAATTGTAAATATATACTATTCAAAAAAAGTAGGGGATATTTGATTTTTAAGTGTTATTAAAGTCACCTAATGAAACTGACGAAGAAACAAATGACAAAATGAAATGAAGTTCACATTCATCGATTTATTCCAAATGATTGTTAGACTAAGTAAGGCACAGACTGACCATTATAAGGGTAAAATGATACCCGGGGTCAAACAGCAAAGTTACCACAGCATCACAACCAAGTCAGTAACGGGTAAATCCTCCTCTGTTTGCCAAACAAGCATTGATCCGACGTGGCATGCTCCTAATGAGACTTCTAAGGTCAATTTGGTCCAGATTGTCCCATTCCTGTTGCAACGCAGCAGCAAGTTCTTGGACATTGGCAGGACGTTGTTGACGTTGACGTAACCTCTGTCCAAGCATGTCCCAGACATGCTCGATGGGGGAGAGGTCGGGACTCAGTGCTGGCCAAGGTAATGTGGTGATGTTCTGTTGTTGGAGGTAACCTGTAACGATCCTGGCCCTGTGACATCTTGCGTTGTCATCCTGGAAGATGAAACGGCGGCCATGACGTCGTGCGAACGGCACAACATGGACTGCCAAGATGTTGTCCCGGTAGTACTGGCCTGTAACACGCCCTGCAACAACATGTAAAGCCGTTCTTCCAGCAACAGTGATGCCTCCCCACACCATAACAGAACCACCCCCAAATCGATCATGTCTGATGACGTTAACGTCTTGGAAGCGCTCGTTTCAACGACGCCACACCCTCCTACGTCTGTCCAAAAAATCAACAGTGAACCTTGACTCATCTGAAAACATCACATTGCTCCAGCGTCGATTATCCCAGTGTTGACGATCCCTACACCAACGACGTCTTGCCTGAATGTGATGATCTCTCAAACAAGGGATCACGCGAGGACATCGGGCGCGAAGGTGACCCCTATGCAGTCGATTCCGAATCGTCTGGCCACTCACTCTCACACCAGTGTCTGTTTGAAGACGAGCGCTGATCTGATTTGCTGTGATGACACGATTTCTCAAGGCCAAGGTACGGATAAATCGATCCTGGGCTTGAGTTGTCGCCCTTGGTCGACCTGAGCGTGGTCTGTCCTGTACAGATTGTGTATCACGGTATCTGGACCATAGCCTGCTTATGACAGACTGAGAAACATTCATCGTCCGCGCCACAACCGCCTGTGTTGTGCCGATCTGTAGCATGCCAAGGGCACGTAACCTTTCATTTTGGGTAAGCCGACGCATATCAAAATTTGTTTTCTGGTCACTAAAACAATTAAACTGATGTTTCCACCCTGGAATTCAATGCCACAATGACTGTAACATTCAAAGTCAGAGTCGTGCAAATCTTGGGTTGGACCCCCATGATAATCCCAAGCATCACCTGCATTCCATGCGGTAGCTATTGGTGCGTTTGGGCGTCACATGTAACTGGAAATGTTTCTTCTGTTAGGTTCTATAGTGACTTTTTTCGTAGTCATTTGCATATTTTAGTATTATGCCCCCAAAATCAAATATCCCCTACTTTTTTTGAATAGTATATATTGAATTTCACCAGTTGCTATATTTACCATTAGCGACAATATTATTATTACATGTTTCAGACCATTGTTTTCATAATGGTTTTACATGTTTCGGACCATTGTTTTCATAATGGTTTTTATTATTTCGTTGGGTTTTTTTTGTTGCCAATTTTAGTGAGAAGTTGCAGCAAAAACTGTGCATGGTGCGAACATTCTGCTAACGTAGATACTGTTGGCCTTTGTGGAACTAAACATTAAATATAAATTGGGTAATTTCTGACCAACAGGAAGTGATTTACGGATGGGACAAAAAATATTCTCAGATTCCCGATATCTTGCTTATTTGTCAACGGATCTCCGTCCTATTTTTATTTTTGGATTCTTTGGAAGAATCCCATAGGGGCTATGACGTTTTTTCGAAATTCGGAAGTTTGCTCTATTAGTTCTAACATCAAAGATTTGTGGAAGTTTTCTTCAGAATTTTTTTGACATTCAAAAGGATTTATCTCCTTTAGTATTTGAGGTATCCAGTTAAAACTTGGTAGGAATAATTAACACATTGATGTCTTCAAAACGGCATATTAAAAAATTTTGTGACAGCTTCCACTTTAATAGGTATTGGACATCACTATACTTAATTCATGGTGTAACTTGATTGTTGACGTTACAAGGTGTGACCTGCCGTACCGAAACACATCAGTACTACATCGGAGTTCTAGTTTATATTCATCTCCAATACATGTATAATATAGCCAAATGATCCTGAACAAAACATAATAAATGAAGCAGGTCAGTCACCTTTTTCCATAAAACCAATGAATGAATTTTGCTGAGCAGCACCATTCTTCCATAAACTCATTAAATGAAATCAACGAGGCAATTTTTCTACATAACCCAAACAAGGAATTAAGCAGGGAAGCCTCATTCTTCCATAAAACAAATGTTGGAATTTAGCAGGGCAGTGCCTATTTTAGACAAAACCAATGGGGGAATTTAGATGGGCAGTGGCATGCTTTCATCAACTCAATAAATGAATTTAGCAGGACAATTTCCATAACGCAAATGAAGGAATTAAGCTGCATAACTGTATTTTCCTCATAATTCAAAGAATGGATTTGTGCCATGGGAGAGCATAAATACTAAAAGAATCAACCAGGGCTGTTGTATTCTTCCATAAATCTAATATGAAGGAATTAACCTGGGTAACAGCCTTTCTACAAATGTTATCCAACATTCAATGAATTTACCTGGAGATCATTGATGTTAAAGGAAATCACCAAAGCAGCGACATTCTTTCCGTTTACACACCAGGTACGGTATATATACCTGGTCAACAGTACTCTTGTCTTTAACTCATCCTAGATCCTACTCCTAGTCAAGAATTTATATATATGTGTATTAGTGTCAAATTACCTGCCCAATCTATCATAATACCATTAACAACATTTTCTTACCCGAAATTAATGTAAAAATCATAAACCAGTATACCTACTAATAACAGGAAAGTAAATCTGCAAGGTATAGGCTTATACAGGAAATATTTATATTATTATGCCATGTTTGAAAATGGGTAGACTTTTCATACCACCTATATAATTGTGAGGTAGAACAAGAAAAAAATAGAATGTTTTGTATACGACTGTTGATAAACAACAGTACACTGGCCAAGAAAAAATGGAATGTTTTGTATAAGACTGTTGATAAATAACAGTACAGTGTGAAGTAATACACAATACACATAGGATAAAACTTACCTGGGATGAAAAGGTTTTAGGGAGGAAACTAACCCTACCAGTAATTGATTGTTTGAATATCTTTAAACAACCTGGGCAGTTCTTTTAATTCCTACACTAATACTGTATCCACACATAAGATGACAGTTACTTACTTACATGTATCATAATGTCTACATCTATTGTCACTGACTGTGCTATAGTTTCAGTTACATGTATTACAATAGGCTATTTAATTTGTGTGCATATTAAGACTAAACTTCTTTAATCATTGTAGATCCAATTTCCATATTCATCATGCAGGGCCTATTGTCAATTGATGACAATTAATTAACAAGGCTGTACAAGCTTGACTGAATAAATTTTCTTTATTCGTCACATAACGTGCAAATGTGAATATTTTTCTTTTATAAGTATGTCCTCTCAATCTACACTGTCAATTTTATGTCTTTGCTTTTCTTCGATTCATTTATAAAAACTTTGACTTGGACTTGACTTGTTTATTTCTTACAAAAATGTCAAAAGATATTAATATGACGATAATAATTATTTAATCAATATCTTACCGACACGACCATCTGTCGGTGCGGACTTGGGTATTACCAGACACTACTCAATTTAAAAGATGGATTTACTTCTATCAAATTATTAGGATATTCGTAGAGATTGATCACCTCAATTTTCATACCACAACAAACATGGCGTTGAGCGCGACAACGAGGTCAATTGATCATGTGACTGCCCCCTTTTCACGCACCTGTTGGAAGCGGCCGTCAGAGAAAGCAATCTGAAGATGTAATTTGTAGACATCACAATGTAGGTCAATTTATTATGCAAAACAGAGTTACATGATATTTTTTTTATTTTGTGACCTCTAAATGAAACAGTGACATCGTCCCTGTCAAACACTAGGCGGTGATGGACATGGCAAGTAGGGAAACCGACCTAACAAGTTTTACCAATTGACACAAAAAGGGGCGGGGCAAAAAAATGTCAACACGTGGGCATTCTGTTTTTAGACAACATAAGCTGTAAATTTCTAGAAGAGTGTCATTCCTGTCATGTCATTTGATATGGGAGCGTGAGCTTTAAAATTCTCTCGATATTGCTATTAAAACCAATGTTCATATTATTTTTAACTCCGTAAAATTACTATAAATAGATGCCGCGGGCGTGCATGATGCTTCGTTCCGGAATAGAGTAGTGTAGTAATACTAGTATGATCCATGGACCTTATAACATTATATTAAATTATAAGGACCATGGTATGATCAGATAAAACTGAGTTCTGGTTGGTCATCGACAAGCTTTTCTAGATTCACGTTCTGTTAAATATGTAGAAGGCCATGGCCATGCAGTGACGTATAGTTGACTGGTACATTGCCTAAAATTGGCGGGAAATGTGATGATGTAATGTTACATGTATATAGAATAAAAATTTATTGCATCGAAACATCCTTTGACGACAGCATACAATATACAAAGTATTAAATACAAGTACAAAAAATATGGACAGGTGCACATAAATTCACGGACATAAATTCAGAGCACCAACATGAGTAGACAGCAGGCTATAAAAGTTGCATTCAAGGTATATATGAAAATACAAAACAAAACGTGCGCGCATAGAAAAGGTAATAAAACATCAAGCATATTTAACATAACAGTTGTCTCTCCGCAAAAACAAGAGAACTAAACATGGGCTGCGACACTTATGGCTATAATACTCGGTGGTCAAAGAGAAAAGGTTAGAGGGTGCGGTACATGCTAAATATTGGTGGGAAATATGATTAAAGTTGAAGGAATGGATGAGTATCTTATAGATTAGTAAACTAAAACGTTAATTTCCAGCACTCGACATCTGGAATGCCTAAAATTGCCGGGAAATTTGATCATGTTGCAATATCAATGATAATCCATGTATTATGTTTGTATTGTATTCTGTCCTCAATAGATCCTTTGACAATAAAATCCTATCTTGATCCTTATCTTATAGATTAGTAAAACGTAAAGTTTTAGCATTGTGCAATTGTGAATATTTTGTGCAATTGTGAATATTTGCTTTGCTCTGTGGTGTGTGGGGTGCTTTAATAGGCTCCTGACATTGGGCCAAAAAGTTTTAACTGAAAGGATTTAGCGATGGAAAATTACATGATGTTTTGAGGTGAGAAATGGATCTCTGCGGGCATACGTTGTCACAACTTTTCGTCAACCACCACACAACGTTGTGACAATGTTGCTTTGACGTCCGTACAACGTTGTCACAACTTTTCGTCAACCACCACACAACTTTTCGTCAACCACCACACAACGTTGTGACAATGTTGCTTTGACGTCCGTACAACGTTGTCACAACGTAAGAGTTTGTTGCAAAACAACCTACAGCTGACTTATTTCAGACGTTGTGATACAACCTCTGAAAAACGTTGTCACAACGTTCTGTGCCCGCTGGGTAGGGGAACGAGGCGGAGGTTGGGGGGAATCTAATAAAACAATAATTTTACTTTTCCTTTAACTGAGTACCACGAACTTGTACTGAATTGACTATCGTTTAAAACATTTTGTCTGGAGTGGGGTTTCGGTTCTGCCTGTCTAACATTCATCGAGCCTGTACGCCTATGTCTGCGGATGGGGGTTGGATGGCCGAATGGTTAGCACGTGTGCGCTGTATCATAAGGTTTGACAAGGAGTAAGGTCGCCCGTCCAACCTCGTGGGTTTTCTGCGGGTCCTCCGGTTTCCTCCCACAGCTAAAGACTCCTAGCGTAAGCGTATTATTGAAATAAAAATGAACCATGTGTTAGTCCCGAAATGACCTAGTTTGTATAGAGTTGACGTTAAACCTCATTTCTCTCACTCTCTATGTCTGCAAAACACAACTGAACGACAAGAATAAAAGAGTTATTTCCCTTTGAACTAGGATGAATTTTCAGATTTTACTTGTGACTATAAAAAAACAATCAGAATACACACATTCTACATCAAGGATAAAACTATTGGCCTGGTCAAATTTCCTGATATTACGGTACGGTCAAGCCCCCCCCCCCCCTACTTAAAACTTTGAGTCCAGTTCCTGGCATTTGAGGTCATTGCTGGGAGCAAATTCTTATAAAGAATAAGAAATGGGACATAATCTAGAGACCTGCTTGTCAATTGTGAGAGTTGACAGAACACTAAGTTCAGTCTGTAACCCAACGGCGTGGTCACGCACTAGTGGTACTACTGACTGGGCGATTCACTATAAGTTCTATAACCGTGAAAATGATAGTAATGAAATAATTAGTATAAGACCACAGCGGAGTGGAAGAATAATAACATAAAGAACTCGAGAAATTGTCAGATAGTGATGCATAATATGTAGTATACTGCTCTTTTAATTTTTTGGTACTGGGTCTGAAGGGTGGGGGGGGGGACTGTCATCATGGAGCCCTACTTGTCCGCTACGCCACTGCTGTCAGTATATTTCAAATGTTAAAATGTACAAAAGGTCGTTTTACTTTTGTTTGTTTATATTTATTCAGTGACAGTTAAATCTATTGAAGACCTTCAGCGATTATTTGGGATCTGGTAGTTCGCACTATAAGAGTGTTTAGCGATTGAATTTTGGGCATAGCCTCGATTATCATTACTAAAGTCGGTACGATAAAAAACATAGTCTCGATAATCCATTTTTTAAAATTTAATCAGCAGCAGGCCGGGTTTTATTCCAGTAAATATCACAGGGTAGCGATGCCATCGAGAGTTTATTATGGTCTGGATAAGTTAATTAATGTCTAATTAATAATTTAGATAACATTTCAGGTCTAAAGAAAGACCTGTAATTGGCAGATTTAGCTCGTGCGTATGTTTAACATTTTTCTGGAACATGTTACGTAGACTATTTATTCTTTCTTCAAAGGGAATTCTGCATCACACAAAGCTGGAATGGCGGAAGTATAAACCATGCACCGGTTAAAGTAAAAATAGCACCAAATTCTACAAGTGATCTGAAGCTTTCAGTTTACGCACCGTATTTCGGAGATCCACCAGCACCTGATGGACCCAGTGGTTTACCCTTTCCTCAACTGTGGGATTATGAAGGTATAACCTATTTCATATAAGTTTGACAGACACAAATCAAAATCTATATTTATATCTTTCCAGATTCAAAAAAATAATTAGGGTTTTGGTTAGTAAAAGTCTTACTGTGACCAGTGACGTCACACGTATTGGCCAAGGATGGCAAACATTTTTACAAAGAAACCTAATATATTAATTCGATAGTCGGTAAAATCCTAAAGTATATACCCGCAATCAACCAAGTGAACTATAAACTGAAGTTATATTTAAATATGCACTACCTATATTAATTCGATAGTCGGTAAAATCCTAAAGTATATACCCGCAATCAACCAAGTGAACTATAAACTGAAGTTATATTTAAATATGCACTACCTATTTAGAACTTGATTTCTTCTCGGTTAATGTCTTCACTGCCCGAATTGACAACAGTTTGTGCATTGTTTATTGTCTTGCCCGTAACCGTTGCTACGACACTGTCGACAGAGAGAGAGAGAGAGAAATGGGGTTTAACGTCCACTCGACACAAACTAGGTCATTTCGGGACTAACACATGGTTTAATTTTATTTCAATAATTCGCTTGCGCGTAGGGGTCTTTAGCAGTGGGAGGAAACCGGAGGACCCGGAGAAAACCCACGAGATGGACAGGAGACCCTACTCCTTGCCACGTGCAACCGGGGATTCGAAACCACGCCAGTTGACTCAATGACAGACTTTATGGTACAGCGCGCACGTGCTAACCATTCAGCCACCCCCCCCCCCACCCCACACACACACTGTCGACAGAGCGTTCCTTTTCGAAACTTAAATGTATCAAGACATATCATGGACATACTTGCAGCCGACCATGTCACAAGAGTGACTGGATGAATTAGCCTTTTTATCAATTCGAAATGCTGCCGCCAAAGCGATGGATATAAATAATATTATTTATATATTTGGCAAAGCTAAAGCTCTTAGTGTGCAATTCTAATGCTAATATAGTAAAGAAGAAAAAAGACATTTTAAAAGATTACAAAGTCGTGATTACATTTACAGTACAACGCGGTGCTACTGAATAGTTTTGTGAAAGAAAGAAAATTCATGAAAAAGAAAAGCTAAAAAAAAAACCCAAATTGCAAGGGGCCCCTAATATTTCTTTTACCCAAGAGCCTCCCCCCCCCCCCCCGGTTACGCCATTGACTGTGACATAGCCAGACTAATGCCGGGATGGATGGAATAATGCTGGGAAGGCTTTATAGCTAAACCAAGTTGCTTCGGCCTTAGGTACCTTAGTTTAGCTACTGATCCAAGAACGGCAACTTTTGATGTTGACTATGCGTATAAACAGCACATTAAATTCAAAGCGCTATTAATTTCCATAATGATTTTAGTAAATATATAATATCACCCGGCAATTTAGTATAATCTACCTTAAAAGTTCTGGTGCAATAGTACAGTGCCTAGTGAAATATTCTGAAAGGGGTATTGTTGTATATTGTAGTACTTACTGTTATTTGTTATGGAGAGGATGGATAGCACCCCCAATGTTACAACAATATTGACACGTATCATATCATTTCCCGCTTTATCATATCATTTCCCGCTTTATCCCGGTCGCGGTTTATATTATGAGCGATTAACCATAGTTAGTTATATCGTCTAGATAATCGAGATAACCGTTTTTTCGAATTGCGCTTGACCATTTTTAAAAGCATTTCATATAGCCTCCGTAATCCAAACATTGTCGAATTTAAAAGTATTGAACTGTTGGGGAGTTACTAATTATTTAAATTATAGGGTTGGTGCATCGAAACCAAATTTACAAGGTAAAGCGATACACATAGTTTACTCCCAAGGTTACTAATGTCTCTTTAAACTTGGTCAACAAGGCCAAACTCTTTGGTAACGAATCACACAAAATGTCACAGTGGCCTAGACTAAACAGATTTTAAAGGCGGCAATAGCAATGCTGATTCTCTAATTTAAATGGTACGATCAATTAGGCACTGCTTTTGGTGCCAATTTCTGTATATGCTGACTGTCCTAAGCTACTATTATGTTTAATATTTCGAAAAAGCAGAAAATTAAATTAAAGAAGACATTTCATCTGTTTAATCTCATTAGCGTATTTTGAACACAAGCGAAAACACATTAAATAAAACAAAGACACAACTCGGATGTGAAACCTCCGATTTGAGCTTCGAAGGCGTATATATATTTTAAAGCCCCAATGCGCCATTTTAGCGCTATTGGAATCCCTGGCAAACTACAATATTGTGAAAGATGAATCTCGAATAGGATTTATCAGTCCAAAACTTGTTCAATTCGGTTAGTATTTACAAAGATATGTGGAATTGAAATTTCATCGATCTATGGTGCTTCACGTAATAAACGCGCCGCCATTTGGTTGTCCGCGAAAATTTATTTGTAGGCTTGTTTTAAATCCGATTGAATCCAAGCAGGGACATTATCTGGCATTGGTAGTTTGATTTTGTTTTCTTAATTGAATACTAAATAAAAAAAATGATATTTTAGCAAAAATGCATATGGCGCATCGTTACTTTAATAATAATATATATTGACTCATGTGTTAAAGAAGAACTTCGTAAGATCTACTTTCGTTTCACGTGTATTTTATTCAAGACTTATTATTTGAGTTTGTAAGTTTGCGCCTTTGTTTTAATAAAGGTCAACGTGCCTTGAAATATGCTGATATTATTTTAAAAAACTGTATCAACATTGTGGACCTCTCTTCAGACATTACACTGATTGTAAAAAAAAAACTTCATTATTTTTATACACTTTTAAGGATTGATTAAGTAGTCCAGAGATGAGCATTCATATTGTTCAATTTGTTGATCTGAGTTTATAAGGAAATTGTCTCATAAAGTGACAGGACATTGTCCTACAAAGTGAATGTAAGATGGCGAACATTATTTCTAGACAACCAGCTATCCAACTTTTAATTCTGCTTAGATAATGGTTAGAGTAAGCGAAACGCGAAAGTTGTTATTAATAATTTATTAGCTTTAAACTGTTTGAACTAGAAATACACAGTACACATCACTGTGGAATATATGTACTCTTTTATAATTGCTAGTTTATAACGTGTACATGCACAATAACAACACTGAATTGTCTCACATTATTAATTATTTTAGTATGGAACAGAAAACTTAGTATTTGAAAATGAAGCGCCGAAAGTGTCTTGTAATCTATATAAAAATATTATCCACCGGACTCGCACCACCGAGTTTCTTTTTGCAGTCAACCTCCGGAGTTAATTAAACATAATATTCATAAATTCTTTTAAGTTATTTCCTTAACGATAAAAATTTAAGAAGGACCTAAATAGGGACTCTCTGCAAGGGTATCATTAAGGCTATACCACCCATCTCATTAAGATATGGCCATTTCACGATAACTCTTAGTAGTTTTTTACGTGTTGGAAAGTGTGAAACGGAATGAAATAGGGTTTATCGTCCTACTTTTCAACTCCACCAAGTATAATGAAGACGTGATCTACTTGTCTATCTGGAACAAATCAGCTATGAAAGCAGACAATGTAGCCTTTTATAATATCCTCGTGACTTGATGTGAAAATAAAATAAATGATTGTCGAATGTTGAGTAGAAAATACGCAGACGTAGACCAGGAAGAAGGCTAACTAATCCGATTTCTAAGCGAATTATGGGCCGATCGATTTCATATGCTGGAATCACAAACAAAAAATACTTCCTGCATTTGATTTTCAGACACTATAATGTTGTATATTATCGTCGCACACGGTCGCCGCCCTCCCACCCATAAGTACTTGTACTTATTCTTCATAGGTAAATTCAAAACCGATGTAGATCTTCGGGATTTGATGATTAAAGTATATTATAGTACTCGTATTGGATTCTACAGATTAGCCCCCGGTCATTTGCGTCCAAATCTTGTGTATGTTAAGAAAGTGTAAACAAGGAAGCTGGTGGTGAAGATATGTTACCCTGGCTGCCAAACTATGTTTAATAAAACAATGTTTCGTAATTTATAGAAAGTGGAAAAAGTACCAATGAAATGTAAATTATGTGCAATAATATGAAATTCAAAACTCAAACACTTACCTCATAATACACCACCTGCCTACTCACAATGTGTGTTATAAGTTAAAACGTGTATATCTCGGCAATGGCTGGGGATAGTTTTGCGGACAATCTTATTGGATTATGCTTCATGTAACTAGGTAATCAAGTAACACCAAATCGAAATTTATTTTTACTGCTACCGTTAAAGACTTACAAAGCCCTAAAACTTCTTTAATAATAAGACGTGTTTTAATCCACCACCAGTCTTCTTTTGATTATAGGGCGGCGCATTGCCTAGCTAACGAGTGTTAGCCGAGTAGGTTCCTCGGGATTTTTCGGTGTGGTTTCTTCTGGTCAGCGGTACAGTGTCTAGTTATTCCGATGGTACGAAAAACGGAGGGGGGGGGATTGTACAGATTGTCGTGCACGTAAAACAAACTTTGATAGTTGAAATTCGAAATAAGAGAAGGCTGTAGCGCCGCTGTCCGGTCAAAACTTCCCTCAAATGCCATCTCCATGTTGTATACCCCTCTATATTAGCCGAGTGCAGAAAAGTTGGAGGTTAAACCCCCTTTCATTTCATTTTCTATTGATTGCAAATATTAAATTAATAGTAAGACATGCATCGATTAATCAGAAATGGGTTTATAAATAAATTGAAGATTATTGTCGGTTCCTAACAACTCTTCCTTTGACAACATAATAATTCTTCTTTTTTTCAGTTGTCGAATTATTTCTCCTCAATGATGACGACAGATACATCGAAGTGGAATTATGCCCGTAAGTTTCTTGTCTCGTATGTAAAAGCAAATCTAATTGGTGTAAAGCTATAGATACGTCATAGCCTCTAATGCATTTTTATTCTTCATTCGTCTGTAAGCCAATTGACTCGAGTTGTAATCAAAATTGGTTTTATTCTGTCCCACCGCATTTCAGCCCTGGAGATAATCATGATGCCAATTTTCTCGTTCTTCAAATTACAGTGCTTTGTTAGATGATAGTCTACAGAAGTGTATTCTTCGGGTGGGGTGTGGTGGGGTGTGGTATAGGGAAATGGAATATTAAAATATCAAAGTTCTATCCATACGCTTCCCTTCGCGAAGCTTCGTGAAAATGCTACCCCTCATGCGCATTTTAACCAAACATGTACACTGTATTCAAACTAGATTTGCTAGAAGCAGTTATGCATGTTGTATGCTTTATCTTTCTGCAACATATATGATACTATCTATATTGTTTCAATGAAATTTAGTATGATTGCACTGGAAATACACAGGACACGATGTCTAGTCGTTCGAGTGGTACGAAAAATAGATTCATACCCATGTACACATTGACGTGCCGTAAATAATTTCGTGACAGTTAGAATTCGATGGTACATTTAGTCAACAGAAGACCGCCTTACACACACAGGTCAATGTGACCGTATCTAGCCGTGTTGATGAACTGTATGGAGATTCGCTATATTCTGTATATTTTGTATTAATATAATCGACAGGGTTGTATCTCGTGATCGGACGTCATGTCGACAATGACAACATTTGAATTTCAAATATTATTTCCTATTCGAAGTGGGGAATATTTGTGAATATTTAATATAAGACACGATATTGACAATTCAGTGAATATAACTATAGCGGTACTGTATTGCATCTGTACATTTTGGGATATAAGGCTCACTTTCTTAAGAAGAGCGTCGTCATCAATAGGGATACACTAATATACCCGCATATATTTATCTTTGGCGTGTTCAATGGCAAGTGAAATGGGGTTTAACGTCTTGCATTTCTGCACCATCCGGGTTAACGAAGACAGACATGTGCCCGGACAGCGGCACTACGGTCGACTCTTATTTCGAATTCCAACTGTCAACGGTCCTTTTACGTACACGGGACCTCGGGTTTTGGTCACATCGGATCGACTAGACGCTGTTCGTTGCCAGGCCATCCATCCTGCGCCACTGACAAGGAGAAAATCCCAGTGAATTTTCTTGTCCAACATCTGGATCGATCCGTGGGAACATTCTCGGCCGACATAGGAATCGACTCCGGGATGTCCTGCTTAATAAACCAATACCTTATACACTGAGCCACCGCGGCTCCCGAACTCTTAATAAGGCCCGTGTCCAGAAATTCTGCACTAAATCATTCCGGTGTAATCAGGTGAATTGTAATATTAACCAAATGATGTTTTAATATTATAATTGTAATCGTAAAGAGATCCGAAAGTAATGCATGGAACGGAAACATATTATTAAGATAACTTTACAAATAATCCGTTCTCAGACATTTCTTTAAATTCCCTATCATCTTGTAAATATCTTCCTTGATGTGACTCTTAAATATGTTTTTACTGACAACTATCGTCCATTAGTAATTTACATGATTTCCTGTTAAGAATGAAAGTAAAAAAAAAAAATGAAGTGATCGAAAACTTCTTGTTTAACAGTTTACCGGTTTCTTTGTGATTCTTTGACTTGTAAAAATATTAGGAGATTCATCATAACTGTAATTTCACAATATAGCAATTTACAATAACATGGTATTTTTGCACTATAAATTGTTAGATTTGACATTTCCGTAGAAGTTGTTTTCACTATAATATTTATCAAATGTCATCTGCTGTCATGCAAACGTAGGGAACTAGAAGACTTGCGGCTAGTGGATTGCATCTAGGTTCGTAGTATGCCTATGTACATTGTGGGACCATATTTATTGTAAGATTCTAAGGTTATTGATACTAGTGTCTAGAGATCTATCACCCGCTTTTCGGAAATATGGAGTAAGTTGTCCTTAATAAATTCTGCGGGTTTTCTCCAGACGGTCTTGCGTTGAACTTAACCTCGTCCCACCTTTCACACCCCATCTAGATCTGATGTCTCTATGGACACGTGGCAGTGATTGAATGGCCAACCCTCTCTGCCGATCTTTCAACAAACCATCAACAGTGGGACAATATTGGACGCTGTCTCTCACAGGATTCCTAAATTCAAAATATACGTATGCTGGAAGCTATAATGAAATGGAAGGTGCCCGCGGGTGGGTGGGTGGTGGTGGGGGCCTGGGGCCTGAATAAGGATCCAACACACAGCAATACGGTGACGTCCCATGTCGTAGGTGGCCCACGCGTTACTGTGTGTTTTTTTTACCCCGTTGTGGCTACATGTGACTGTAAAGTAAAGATGTTATGGCTTTAGTGGATTGCTGTTGATTTTTACGTATCTGTAAATGTCCAGCTACATTATTTCTTGTTAGCACTTCCAGTCAAATCAGTGGTTAGTTTTTATTTCATCTCAGTATTATTATAGATTAATACTGAAAATATTATAGAAGTAGAGCAGTCAAATGTATCTGTTGCTTTGATTTACTACGTGTAGACATCTTATAAAAATAGAGTATTAAATCTATATCACATCCGGTAATAACTTTGTTTAGGCTAACACCATATTAAGACTAGGTTAAAAACAACATCACAGAATAGATGCAATTCATAACACACGTCTGGTATTACGACATATTTTGAAAAATAATATTCGTTAGATTTATTCTATAGAAAGACGATATTTCGCCTGTTTTGAAACTTCCACGAAATGTTCAGCAATGTCCATAAAATCAATGTTAAAATTACCACTGACATAGGCGTGCGAGCCGGTAGGGGCCGGGGCTGTTGCTCCCTAAATGTCGGGCAATCTGGCTTTTCGTGCAGACGGGTACGGTGACAAATTAATATATCATCTGGTTGGTCAAATGACGAGTCCGAAATTAAATAAAACACTAATTTTACTTTAGTTTTATTGAGTGCCGTGAATTTGTAGTGAATCGGCTATGGATTAAAACATTTTGTCTGGAGCCACCCTTCTTTGAGCGACACTTTTTCTGGTATCAGTTATTATTATTTGTGAATGCAGCTGCAACAATCTGATCGGGTGATCGGTGTTCAGGTTGGCATAGACTGGGATTTCGGTTGCAAAACCATAGGACAACTTTGAAGATGCTTAACTCACGGGCTGAAATAGCAGAAAAACGCATTTGTAGTGGTTAAATTTTGTCGGGGAGGGCGAGACCCCCATACAGCGCGGCTCCATGGACTAAACGATAGATTGGTTGTTTGGAATCCAAGAAAGCCACCTAAGATATGGGCAATTATTGGACTACGTTGAAGTTGCTGTATTAACGGCTAGAATTACAGGAAACGCGTTTGCGGACGTTAAATTTTCTAAATTTTCTCCCTAAGGTCGCGTCTCCGTGGACTGTAAACGACTGAATGGTTGAATGAAATTCACATCAGCCACCAGGTCGGTTAGGCTTCATTAGACCACTTCACGGACAGTTCAATAGCAGGAAAACGCGTTTATGGGGCCGTCAAATTTTCCAAATGTTCCGGGGAAGGACTCTACACGATAAATTCCACGTCTTCGTCTCTGGCTGATGAACGGTGAGAGAGGGAGAGAGAGAGAGAGCGAAATGGGGTTTAACGTTCACTCGACACAAACTAGGTCATTTCGGCACTAACGTATGGTTTAATTTTATTTCAATAATTCGCTTGCGCGTAGGGGGCTTTAGCAGTGGGAGAAAACCGGCGATGAACGGTGCGGCCGTCTGTAAACAGAAATGTTTTCGGGCATTTCAGATCAGCCCCGCAAACATTCGTCGGGCCCGTACGCCTATGACTGTAGATGACAAACAAAATCAATTCATAATAGACTTTTTTAGGACTATTGTTCTATTGTTATATCTTCAAGTGCGCATGATTCTATTTTTTTTGAAGCCCGAAATAGATAAAAATGGTTCTAAAAGCACATATTATGTAATATAAATGTATGTAAAGTGATTTATATTCAATTTTGGAAATAAAATATTGTAATTTCTAATCATTTATGTTCTGTGAAACACGTGAACAGTTCAAATTGAACGGCAGTCGTTTACACTTAGTGCATTCTACACGTTTTTAAATTATTATTTTGTCGTTTGTGAATTAGACTTTACTAATTACTTCCACATTGTGTTGTAGGATATGTTTTTATTTGTTCATTACAAAATGGCAACCGAAACCATAGGGTACACGAATCGTGTACTGATTATAAAATGTTTATTGTGTCTTAAATATTGCATATTATGAACCTATAGTTTCACGACAAGATTACAACACCAATATTGATTGAAATTGATCAATATTGATTGAATTATAATTTGTGTTTTAAATTTTGAATATTATTATTTAATATTAGCTCCTTTAAAATTACCTGTAGCTTGCAAAAGGATGAAATCAACAACCCTCGAATGAGTTATAAAGGTGGCGGAATTCTGCGTTTACGAAAAATCAGAAGAAATTTTTAACTTTTAGAAAAACATATTTTGATTTTTGGTGGCAATCTTTAATTGAAATTTCCCAATTTTTGCATCAACGTCGATTATTACAGTCCATATTGTCATTGCTTCGATTAGAACATGATCGAGATTACAATTCTGTCCGCAGGTTCATCTTGTAGGTTTTATTTTGCGTGTAATGCGGTCCTCCTGCACTTACTATTGACATGTCAAATATAACGGTCGTATTAACCTCGGCTTATGAAATCGTTTTGAATTTTCCTGTTGGTGTAAACAGAGATTAATGTTGTTGATATTGACAATTGGGCTTACAGTCAATTTCATGTAATCAAAAGACGAGGCTAATACCCAATCTGCGGACTTCTAAGCTCTACAATCATGTTATAAAAAATTTGCGAGGTCAAGATTTGTACTAGACTGTAGGCTTATATCGAAGCCCGAACACAATTTATGTCATGAAAAAACAGTGATAGCATAGTTTGAGTCAAATGCTAGAATAGAAACAGATAACATTGTGTTTGAAGTAGAACGTTACTAACCAAATCGAAGACTCTTAGTGCTCTTTTCGGATCGTCCTTGTTACTTCCTGTACCATTCGGTCATTTCATTTTCCACTTCCTGGTGCGCCACGGTATCTGTAGTGACTCTGCCACCTAGTAGAGACTGACAATAGACTGTACCACCACGACTGTCCAGAAAGCAAATACAACCCAAAATATTTAACAGTGATCGCCAAGTCCCTTACAACGATACAAAGATGGTCTTGCACTAATTGTTAACTTAAATTTCAAAACGAATATCCGTATCAAATATTTAGCTATGCGAGCCTTCCACATATTATCCATCCCCTCTATCGAAGAGTAAGCAATTAAAACCAAATCAAAATTGTTCTAAATATTTCTATTGTGGTATATTTTTTCAAATGTTTATATTTTAGTATTTGTATATTTATTCCAAATCTTTGTATTGTAGTACATTTATTTTTCATAAGATATTTCATAAGATGTTTATATTGTTGTATATCTGTCGATATGTTTATATTGTAGTATATTGAACCTAAATTTGAAGTACCACGCCCATTACAATCCTATTTCTATCCAACTGATAAGTACCTTGGGTTCAATGAATCAGTGGACGCTGATTGACACACGTTAGACTAAACAGTAAATAATGTCACTTGTAATGAACCCAACATCACTGTCAAAATAAAACAAGTCCTAAAACAGAACACGCGTATTTACAGTAGATATACAGTTTAAAAAAAGAGTTCGCTGTCGAAGTAATTGAATGATTGGTTTCCGGAACATTCATCATTATACAATGAAGACTGAAACATCCAACTCCGATACAGGAAATCTATATAGGGCGGGAGGGGCTATGGATAAGATCTTGTCTGCGATATCACCCACGAACGAACGATGGATAAGATAACTGGTAGACATTTATCATCAATGAAGTCTGGAACTCCAACACACGTTATCTCTGATGGGCGATATGGCGGACATACACTCTTTCCCCACCCCTTGATCGGAAATAAATGGCAGTAAAATGTTATAACTGCTCAAAGCCATCAACGTTTTCGACGAAAAACCAAATTATGTGGTTTTATTTATTTAAACAAAATGAAATGAAATGGTGATTAACATGGAATTGTTCTGCTCCGACTGGGTTGATGAACTTTCTAGGTCAACACAAGGATCGAACATTGAACCTCCATCACCATAACACTTATGATCTTTTCTTTTCAGGCATGGACAACATCTCGTGTTGCTGTTAAATGGAATACGAAATATTGTGAAGGTGGGTAGGATTAAGGGCGTTCGCAGTACTCTTGAACCTTGCGGTTAACTACCAAAGCATATCATAGATCTTGAATTGATTACTAGTATACAGAGATGAAATGGTGTTCAACATCCTATTGTTCTGCTTTTACTGGGTTAATGAAGACGGTATTATACAGAAATACACTATTACAACGTGATTCTGTCAAAAAAATATGTCTGATACCTTGACAACATTGGTCGTACACCGGGATGAAGAATGTTTTTTCCAAGATTTAAAATGTTATTACGTAAGAATCATGTTAAGATAAAGAAACCACTTGGGTAAAAGGCTTAATGTTGGGTTTATATTCCTCGTTTTTTTTGTCTGTAAGTTAGAAATTGATCCGAATTAGAGCCCAGTATGTCCATTATGTTGGGGAAATGAATTTTTATACAATGCAAATGTCACTGGTGTAGCTCCTACCGGAATTCGAATCCGATCGCACACTGATTCAGATGAACAATAAAAGGAAAACAAAATTATTAGCAGCTATTTTTCATACCAATGTATGTCTTTAAAACAAATGCGTGTAGCTAACGTTTCTTGTTTATCATGTAGAAAGAAAAGCCTGTATAATATCAATTAAAAATACATGAAACAACTAAATAACAATACGACTTTTATAAAATCAAAATAAAATCACATGATATCAAATGATTTCAAAATGGCGGCGTACAATAAATTTAAGTAACTTTTATACAACTAATGCCTTTTGGATTTAAGTGACTTCGATACGAATTGCCATTTTGAATGTCACATGATACTGACCCCCTTCCAACATAGTCTTTTTAAGGTTAACAACAAACAGCGTGGGGGGGGGCGAACGAATGGTTAGCGCGTGCGCGTTGCATCATACGGCCTGTCATTAAGTCAGCTGGCGTTGTTTCGATTCCCAGATTGTACGTGACAAGGAGTAGGACCCCCAGTCCAACCACGTGGGTTTCTTCCGGGTCCCCCGGTTTCCTCCCACTGCTAAAGACCCCTACGCACATGCTAATTATGGAAATAAAATAGAACAATATGTTAGTCCCGACTCTCTCTCTCTCTCTCTCTCTCTCTCTCTCTCTCTCAAGGTCGCTGGCAAAGAATTGGAATCTTGGAAAAAAGCAGCGTTCTCACAGCTTTTCAGGTCAGATCGCAGAACCTTTGCGTTTGTAATGAACATGCTCAAAACAGCGGTCATTGGCGTTTCCACCACGCTTTTACCGCGCTTATAGAGCTCTTTACGTGCTCTGAGACCATTTTCCGTCGCCGTAGCAGTGCAGTAAGAACGCCACCCCGATCTGACGGGGGTATAAGGCAGTGTTTAAACTGTTGATTTTTAGTCGACAAATTAGAATTACGATTTACTAAAACCAAAAAAAAAAACGGACAGTGTAAGACCATCTTTAGTTTCTCGGATTATAATTTATTTTGTAAGAGCACCGTGATTAGCTCAGTGATTAAGTATTTAGACCACTTCCGCAATAAGGAATGTTGCTTAATGCAATCAAAGGTTCAGACTGATTTCTTAATACTTTGATAAAGGCGTCATAAATAACGATTCAGATCGTAAAACTTGAAATCGGTCAACTGTCGTTCGGGGTAGAATCTAACACTACTGTCTTGAACCGTCGTAAATTTTAAATGGATTTTTTCGATTATGGGCAAACTACTAAATTATGGTTATTATATACATGCTTATGTGTTTGTGAAATTACTTCCGGTTAAATAAAATCCACTGTGCAATTACATATCCCAACGCATAAATATTCTCTTTTGAAAAGTCAATGTAGTCCCGAAATGACCCAGTTTGTGTCGAGTGGACGTTAAACCCCATTTCTCTCTCTTTCTCTGTCTGAAAAGTCGATGTTTTTGATTGTATTTTCGAGTTCATCAAAACATAGCACATGTCACGTAATGACATTTTTATCAAGTTCACTGAGATGGAAATAAGGTTAGGGTACGTGATTGTTGGCGAGATTGTAGATTAGGGTTCGTGTAAGCATTAGGACTCGGTCCAGCGTTAGGGTTGGGATTAGCACTAGCCCTGTTTACATCGCGTGGCCTTTGACAAGTTGGTCTTATCAAATAGATCTAACCTTGAAGTGGAAATAAAGGTTGAAAAATATTAACAACCACGTGTTTTGCAATCAAAATAAAGCGCGATCTTTTGAGTTTGGACAACGACAATTAACAACTGAAGGCATTAAAACACAGATCCTATTTCGTTTCGTTTTTTACTTGTCTTCACAGCACTAGGATCAGCAAGAGTTGTTATAAAACAGGCGTTCTAGTTGATGTGGGGAATTGGCCAATGAAACGGTATGTTACGACGAGGTCTTGGCGTGCTCTGCACGGAACTGTGGGTAAACCGCTAGAAACGTCAATGCTCGTATGACCCCTGACATGACCTCCCACTAGAACTTGTCAGATCTTCATGTAGTAGAGGCCATCGAAAGTATAAAAAATCGAAACGAAATATAGATGTGTATTTTAATCAGATAGATTTTATTCACATTGTTTTATATAACCACGGATACTAATAAATATAATAAAGCTTATCACATGGTCATCATCTCCCCAGTATATTTGGCATATATATAAATTTTTATAAATTAGTTTTACAACCCCAACAATAGGCAACTTTGTTGCTAAAATTTACAAATAAACAGACTTATTTCATAATTAAAGTTTATATTTGATAACAAAAGTCTAGCATGCTCTATGGATTTCTCCGAAATGGAAAGTATTTTTTGGTTGCTATGCAATATGGTTATTAATACATTTTGAAAATATATGATTCCCACAAAAAATATGAAAAAATAGGTCAACGCTTCTCGATAATTTTCATATTTAATTGACGTACCGGTTGTAACTTAACGGATAATTAAATAGTTAATGACTGAGAGTGCAATCATATGGATATATTGCCCCGTGAAGTTTAAAATGAAGCCGGGATTTTCGTAATTCTAATTGTGTTACGAAGACGCACGATTGTAAAATTCTAAGCAGTTCTTACACAATGACAATATAAGAAAAGAACTGAAATGAAAACTATCTGTCGATAATTAAACCTATGGGCGGTGGAGGTATTTGATTTGTTGATAATTTTGGTATTTATCAATAAATGTATTTATAAAAATAAAATAACGTATCCTTGGCTATTTTTTTGCCTAGGAATATATGAAATAACAGAATGACGAGGTTTCAGAAAGAAATATTAAAGATAATTAAAGGTGAAATGTTCTGCAGTTGTCTTCAACAGAAAATCATCCCCCAAATATCTAATCAAATAACTGAATCAAGATGGAAAAACAAGCTAACGGACTACAGGTCGTCTATGTATGAGTATAAACGCCCAAACTCATTACTGGGGCCGAGAGTAATAGCTTATTCATACACAAAATTCCGTTTCGATAGATATGCCTTGCTGCCACCCCTTGTACGAAATTATCTACTCCGATGAGTGACGTAATAGCTTCCATATTGGTATTTCTCGATGTATAAGATTATGAGTTCAATTTTTCAAGAGAGAACCTTTTTATTTGTTGGAATATTTAATTGTACAATGGATTTTTTTAACCGGAGGAGATTTCAAACACATAGGCAAGTTTATAACAACCATAATTAGATAGGTTTTATTTTTATAATCGAAGAAATCCGTTTCAAATTTAGTAAGGTTCAGAGAGTGACCGGGTTTTGTAAGATCTGTGTTTTTATTCATTGCCCAGAAGCGTTGTTTGTTTAATTTAAGATTTTCGCGTAGTCAGAAATTGTTATTTCCATACCCAATTCAAATATCGAAAGAAGCAGATTTCTATTCTTTTAAAGCATTTTTCCAATTTATGACAATAAATAACGTGAAGAACACGATGAGACCTCAAGGCAAATTGGAATGTCTTAATGAACAAATAGAGACCATAAAATGTTAACTTATGAAATACATAGTCTGGCAAGCATTCAAACGGCTTCTTCTTGAAATAAATTGCTTGTGTATGTAAACTTTAGTAATGATAGTTTTATGTAAACAGACACTTATGACCGTCTGGTAGAAGTTTCTTTACAACATTACGACATATTAGCTTATGGATGACAAAAACATCGCCGCGTTCTATTATTTTTTGACAAAAAAGAGCAAAACACATAAATTCTGAACCTTCCGGAAATTAATGACACCACTTCCTCCATGTTGGGTAACGTATTATTAGACCTTCTAGTAGAAGACATTAATACGTCTACGACTACGTCACGATAATGTCAAGAATATTTATCATTAGCTTGTTTCAAGGGGATTATATCCAACAGTGATCAAATGGAATCATCAGTACTTGTGTGTGTATTTTTTTATAGGATGAATTGTCAATTCAATATAAGGCCTCCATTGAAGGGAGCAGGTGGTCCGGAGAGTCTCTACTTCCCCTAGAATATTTACCACCGAATGTGAACCGAATGAATGCATTTGCTATTCATGGCTCTGAAAATAATCGAGTTTATGAAGCTCTTCATCCGGCGAATACATCATTCCCTGATCCCGACTTGTAAGTATTGTTCTATACATGAACATGTAAATGAATTAATGTTATCAGCACTATTGATCTCTTATCTGATTATCGAAGCCTTTCTTGACAAATGCTAAAATCCCCATTTACACTTCACATAAATCCAGATTCGTGTTTTTAAATGAATTTAAAACTTCTTTTTTTGGGGCTCAAGGTTGCATTAAAGGGGTAATTGATATTTGTTATGTGCCGGTACTTAAAGTCACTATTCCCTTAAAAGTTATTTTGCATTATTCGGCTGTGTGAGGACACGATTGTACCCATTGAAGACACATTTACCGTTTATACATGTATATTTATTTTATTTTATTAATTAAATGTTAAATTACCAATTTGAGTACATTTTCATAATTTAATATAAAATAGCCAATTTGAGTAGATGTTCCGAAAAATGCTAATAATGACCTACAGAGGCTCCATACATGGCACACAGCACAACAGAAAACAAATTAACATCTGTGACTTTTAATGAATTTGAATTTTACTTTGAATTTTGGACCATAGTTAGACATTTAAAAATGTGTACTTTTACTTTAAATATGGCAGTGACACAGTAAAATTCGATCGACAGTACGAACAAGAACGGTCAGCTTATGAAATATTAAACTGACAATAATTTGTGTTCGCCAATTCTTAAATATACAAATGGACAACATGGTAATTGACGTTTTAACAGGATGTGTGATATCCTGCAGGTGCTCTAAAAAATAAGCATATCCTGCCTTGTGAATGGCACCAGAACAACACTTATTGTTTGCTAAGAATCGCAAGATGTCGATAAGATATAAGACAGTAATAAGAAGATATGACCCATATTGCTCCCCGTAATATTGGTATCGTCTTCAAAGATTTTAAATAAACACGAGACAGTGTAATCCATGCTAGATTCTAATGAACTAGATACGTTATAAATTAACGAGAGTTTGTCTACCAAGATCAATGTTTGATGTCAAAAACTTAATGCGACCTACTCTGTATTTACTGAAAGATGACCAGATAAATAGATATACAGTTTCCCTAGTAAAGATATTATTTTCTCGACACTCTCGATACTAAATACAAAAACATAGATTGGAAAAAACCGCCGAAAAATATGTTTCCAGACACTTAAAGAGATTTTTTTTAAAAAAAAAAAGGAAATCGCAAATTAAGAAATATACATAATGCAAGAGCTAAATTCGCCTATTGCGGGTCGTTATATAAATTATTAATTAGACATTTATTAATATGACTAGAACATAATCAACTCCCGATGCCATCGGATATCTCTGATATTTAGACTCTCACCAGATTATTCCAAGAAGCCATTATATATTTGAGAACGAGGAACCGGCAAAGTGAAACTATTATTGCTGTAGTATTATTTACGATCACAAGGAAACACAACAAATAAAGAAGTCCGTAGTACTACAAGTTGTGGAATATTTGGAGGCGATGGTTGGTCCACGAACCCCTGTCCCATACCTACCTTCAGACTATTAGGATCAAATAGAATCCATTTGTCATCAATATCGGAGTCAAAATTATTGATGAATTAACTGAGTCCAAACAGGTATTATTAACGTGCAGTTGTAAACACACGTGTTTACATTAAATCTTTGTATTTGTTATCAATTAAAGGCGTAAATTATTATTACTGTGCAATTGTAAACACATTTGTTTACATAAAATTCTCTGTTTTACATTTGTTTTTATGGAATCTAAGATTGCTTCGTTTCTATTTTTCAGTCACCGACTAGAGTTCTTTCAACCTATAAACATGTCATTTATACCGGGATATAATCCATCAACAGTAACACAAACGTGGAAGAATATTCTAGAAAAATAGTTATTAAAAGATAAATCACAAAACTCCCTTTTAACATATTTTTATACACCCACATTATTTTTCATGAGGACGTATTATGTCGTCGCCCATGTCCGTCCGTCGGGACGTCCATTCACAGGGGACTATTAAAATGGTTTCATCCGTCTGTCTGCCTGTCTGTCTGTCCGTCTGTCTGCCTGTCTTTTTGGGACACAATAACTCTCTTTCTAATTGAGCTAGAATGTTCAAACTTGGTGTAGGCGTTTAATAGGTGAATGCCTTGATGTAGTTCGATGATAAACATTGTCTGCTTACGGTAAGCAGAGATAAGCAATCTGATAGGTTGATGCTTTAGGGCTAATGACTTTGGTTTTAATTAAGTGAGAGTGTGAGAGTGATGAAACTCTGAGTATAGATTCATTATATCATTACCTTGACTAAGTTTGATGATGAGAATTGATAAGCAATTTGATTGGCCAAGACTTTGGAACATAACTCTGCTTTTAATTGAGGTAGAATGTTTAAACTTGATGTTGATGTTCATTAGGTAAATGTCTTGACTGAGTTCAATGATTAACATTTCGAGCTAAAGCTAAACAGAGCTAAGCAATTTTATTGGTCGATGCTTTGGGGCCAGTTAACTTTGATTCTATCTGAATCAAACTTGATGAAACTTGGTGTATAGTTGATAATCGGTTTGATTGCTTGATACTTTTGAAAAAAATTAATGTGCGATTAATTAATATGTGTCATCCATTTATTTTGGAATTTCGGCGGGGGACATCAGCCTCACTGTTGGCTTGTTTATTATCCAATTTTAATTAAACTTAAAATATATGGTCTGGGCAATTAATTCTGTCCCCAGTGTTACCATCTTCAATAGAAAGCTTGATCTCGCTTTAACTCCGTCCATCTTATCAAGGCCTTCAAGTAATATACCAAATTGTTGGGCACTAATTCCAATTGGTTCCTTACCCAGTTGGGAACCTCTCAGATTACTGGATAGAAAATAGCATAGAAAATACCAATTCCGTGAGTTTTTCAACTCAAAAAGAAAAAGCTTTAGGTGTTTGTCTCACGCGTCTGTGGTAAAGAGGGATACCTACCTAAAAATTTGGGAAGTTAAAATAATCTGACCGTCCACCCGTCTGTCTACCTGTCCGTCTGTCCGTTTGTCCGTTCGTCACACGTTTTGGGACACAATAACTCTCCTTCTAAATGAGCTAGAATGTTCAAACTTGGTGCAGGTGTTTGTTAGGCAAATGCCTTGGATGGAGTTCGAAGATGAGCATTGTCTGCTTAGGCTAAGCAGAGATAAGCAGTTTGATTGGTTGATACTTTGGGATACGACAACTTTGGTTCTAATTAAGTGGGAATCATGAAACGTGGTGTATTGTTTCATTATATCAATACCTTGACTAAGTTCGATAATGAACATTTTCGACTGAGGGTAACATCATGCGCATTTCCACTAATTTGATTGGTTGAGACTTTGGTTCTAATTGGGCGAGAGTGATGAAACTTAGAGTATAAATTCATTACACCAGCACCTTCACTAAGTTCGATGATGAAAATTTTCTGCTTAGGGTAAGTAACAATAAGCAATTTGATTGATCAAGACTTTGGAACATAAAAACCCCGCTTTTGATTGCGGTAACTTTGTGTAGATGTTCGTTAGTTAATGTCTTGACTGAGGTCAATGATTAACATTATCGGGGGTCACGGTGGCTAAGTGGGTAAGGCGCTGGCTCGCTAGCCAGGAGGTCGGGTGTTCGATCCCTGCATTGGCCGAGAAAGTTCATCCAGATTTTACGGCGTGGTTCCCCCTTGTCAGTGATGCAAGACGGAGGGCCCGACAAGGACAGCCGTCTAGTCCTTCGGATGAGACGAAAAACCGAGGTCCCGTGAATATATTGGAATGTACGTAAAAGATCCCCTTGCAGTTGGAATTCGATATAAGAGTAGTGCCGCTGCCCGGGCAAAATTTCCCTCATAGCACACTGTATGGCGTATGCCCGTCTTCATTAGCCCAGTATAGGAGCAGAACAGTAGGACGTTAAACCCCATTTCATTTCATTTCATTTCGATTAACATTATCCGCTAAAGTTATAGAGTTATGCAATTTCATTGGTCGATGCTTTGGGACAACATAATTTTAATTCTAACTGATGGAGAGTGCGGAGCCTTGAGTTCGATCGTGAACATTTTCTAATGGGATTAGATAATCAGTTTGTTTGCTCGATACTTTTTAAAAAGGTAAATGTGCAATTAGTGCAATTAATGAGTATGTTTCATCTATTTATTTCGGAATATTGACGGGGGACATCAGACTCACTATTGGCTTGTTTTATATGGCAGCACCAATTGTTCAGATGATACCAATTCCAACATATTCGAAATAGTGTAAAATTACATAAAAGTTGGCAAAAGATAGTGAATATTAGATATAAAGTCGCAACATGAGCTAACTCTGCCTATTGCAGGTCGATTTTTGGCTTTAAATATTATATAAATTACTATTTAGACATTGCGTTACATGACCATCGTATGGTCGAGCTTTAAATGGATTTTAATACAAAAAAATAACGATAAAATGGATAGAGACTTTGTCTGGGTTGTCAAGTATCGTATCGACAGCAATAATTGATCTACGCTTTACCATCAAACAGTTATAATATCTTCGCCCCGAATAAAATAATTTGAATAAAATTTTTAGTATGCATTTTTTTTGCATTATCTATTTTCGAACAATTATAGCAAGAACGACCAGCTCTTTATCTAAATCTTACATAATACATCTTGAACTATTTTATAATTTTGGAGATAAGTTATATAGGCTTTTGCCTGTTTTTCAATCCTATTCAGTTTATTGAATAAAATATTGTTAAAACTTAACAAGCGGAAAATTGCCTACAGTGGCCTACATTTATCTCATGATTTAAGGTGACAGTATCTGTTAATCAATATCATCATGGTTGACATCTCGCCGATTTTTTCTCAGAAATTCAGCAATCGCCGCAGGTAGCCGAAAGTAATTTTCAAATTCAATCAATTGTTCATTGATTTGAAAACTTCTTTTCAACTGAAAACGATTGGTGAGTTTCGTGTTTTATTCCCTTAATTAAAGCTGAGAGCGGCTTATACGTCGTAGAAATCGTTTTGTTACCTGCAACTACTTTAAGCCAACGAGAACAGTCTTTTTCCTAGATGCATTCAGTTTGGAATTATGGTAATTATCCCAAGATTTCAGAATAGTTAGATGCGTTTCTATGTACACATGTTAGACAGGACAGAAAATAATGTTTTCTTGTACAAAACACCTACTTAATTTGTAATGCAATTGGATTGCCCGAGGTTCCGATTTTCGTACCGGAAAATATCATCGGGTTTTGCGAATGACTGAATAGCAGTCGTCATGCGTTTCTAGATAAAAGACGTCAACGGCATAATTATCATTACAAATAACAGTGCTGATCTGTGGATATTATTAGGCTTCAGTTATCTTTCACGCTCAGTTTGGGTCGTAGTTGTGGAAGGTTCAAGGACACTGGAATCTTGACTATTATATAATCGCCTCCAAGCTTGGACAGTAGGGAAGAGCTTCTCGCTAAACCACTCCATAGCCTAAGGCCGTAAATGGAAATATTGCAAAATCATATTCTAAAATACAGGGTAAAGCTTCGGCTCTGCGATATCACTTATGTGGAAGCAGACGTTAAAAAACCAAGGTACTACTACTAGCGTGCACGGTGTACAGGAGTGTTTCACTTATATTATAAGTACACTGACAAGTCCTTCGAATTGACAAACAATCTGGGTGCAAGATATTATGCAAATGAACTCCTTACTGTTGTAAAATGAAGTTGATCTAGGCGAAACGTTTGTGCCCTTATTAAGGTCTAGGTCGGACGATACACTCCATTCCATTCATGCTCAACCCAAACAGCGCTTGAATGACAATTTGTAATTTTTTTTACACACCGCGTCTGTCATCTCTGCAGTTACAAGGAATATCTTTCTGGGCTATTTGAATACTGATACATTCTTACTTATTCCACGTAAATTTATCATTACATGGTAACCAGTTATTCTGTGTACAAGCACTATTGTTATGGAATAAATTACCAAATTCAAATACTTATTGTCACTGTTATTGCAACTTTAAAACTTAACTAAAAAAATATTTATTTAAAAAGGCTTTTACCGAGAGATCCTTTTATATAGGCTATTCAGAGCTATTTTAATTTCTAATTTTATCGAAATAACTGTTTTTGTTTATATATTTTGTCAAGTACAATACAATATTGTCTTGATCTATAATGTAGCAATACAAGTCGTCGGTCGGATATGGGAAGCCGTGCCACCAAATCGTTTATCACATCCGACGCGTTACATTCATTCTCTGATACACATCGTGGTAGCCTGTGATCCTCTAGATTTGTCGCTAGGACTTCTCTTGTGTACCTATTTTTGACAGCAGCTACAACGTTTGTTTACCAGGAACAACAGTACAACAGTTCGTTTCTACATTTTATGTCAAAGACATGATACATAATTACAAAGGTTTAAATAATGGTATACATAAAAGTCATTCTCTTAACGCCATTAACTCACAGAGTCACCGTATTGTTACAATAATATGACTTTATACAGCGGAGCCACGGTGGCTTAGTGGGTAAGGCGATGGCTCGCTAGTCTGGAGGTTGCGGTTTTGCTCCATGTGTTGACGACCGAGAAAATTGATAGGACTTTCCGGCGTGGTTTCATCCTGTCAGCGGTACCGGGCGGAGGGCTTGACAAGGACTGTCATCTAGTCGTTCGGGTGGGACGAAATACCGAGGTTCCGTGTACACATTGGTGTGCACGTAAAAGATCCCTTGACAGTTAGAATTCGATATAAGAGTAAGCCGTAGCGCCACTGTCCGGGCTAAATTCCCTCATAGTACACTGTATGGTGTATGCCAGACTTCAAGAGCCCAGTCGGATCAGAGTACGTTAAACTCATTCAATTCATTTTGTCTCTGTAAAGCGTACCTGGCAGTTG